TAAAGTATTGATGGTAGTGGTGGTGGTGTTTTAAGTTTTAATTTCCGTTGAATTAAGTGGATTATATAAACTCGTAGAAGAGTTAATGGCTACTTTATTAGCTTGAAGACTAATATGAAGCATTTAATATTCTTAGTTGTAATTTTTAGTTGTAGTAACATATGTTAATCTTGTAATGAATGAATTATGTTTACATATAAACAATTGCCTATTACCTATATAAATAAATTTTGCATTAACTTTATCCATAGAGAAGCCTTAGTTAACCAAGAAGGTTATAGTTCTTTATGTACTACTACCATATAGGTAGAAGGAAAACTAAATTTTCTAGAAAGCACATGAATAATTAGACTATACTGGCATATCAACCTAATGTTCAAAGGATCAATATAACCAAGAAACAGTATAATCCTAAAACTAAGTATTTAATACTTTAGCCCAAGAAGTAGTATAGAAGTTTATGTCCTACCTTAAATATGTTGTTGTACACTGAATAATACACTAGATATGTAAATTTCATATCACAACCAATGAATATTAAAAGTATGATTGGATTCTATGGAATATTAGAAATGATTATTCATAGATGATGCATGAAGCATATTACTACTTGAACTAATTATGGCATGAGAAGGGTTAGGAATTTTGGATAAAGGCATAAGAAAATATGGGTAATATATATTTAATAGGCATAGCCTTCCTAAATCTATCTTTAAGTGCATGTATCAGGACTTGAAATCCTAGCCACGTCCTTTCTTGGCTGAGTTAACTTTCTCTACATTGCACCAATTGCAAGCAAGCTTGTAGCTTTACATTTTGTTGTTATCTATTATGTTGGATTGAATACCAACATCCCACATTACACATGAATGTGTATCACTATGTTTTGCTCTCATCGAGCTGCAACTACATATGTCCACTCCTACATCAATATTAGCATAGAAGCTATATTCATAGCTTGTAGCTACTACTTTTTCCCCTCATAATCAAATTGGTTAACTAGCATGTTGTGCTAAAATAGTTTGTATTGAAGTAATAAATATGTTGTTTTTAATGCATTGCATGCATAAGAAATATGATTAGTTTAAGGCCAAGCAGCCTACGATAAGGGGAGTGAGTTAATATGAAATTAGCTCAATGGAGACTAACCCAATTGATGGGATGAATAATTGTGGAATTAAGATGGTGGATAACACACTTATGATGATTTGGGATTTAAGAAGAAAAGGCATTTAGGGATTTTTGTATTAATGGCAATTAGAAAATTCTAGAAGAAATCCCATGTGAGTTTGAATGTTGCGTATTTTATACATTTGAAGTATATGATCCATTTTTTTATTATGTACGAGTAATTGGATCAATTTTTTGGCTAAACAATAAAGAAGCTAGACAATGAAATAGTTCTCTAAACTATGATATGTGCAAATCAGGGGGAGAACATCTCTAAGTTTGTAGGAATGTTGAATATTCTTGTGGCAGAATTGCCTAAATTATATGGCTCACATGTGCCTGTCATTGTCTCATAGACTTCTGATTGTAGCACACGTAAGCCACACAATTCCAGTAGTCTATCGGGTGTCCTCGGGAAACCCAAATCATCCACTTTTTCTTTTCGAGCAGGATACATTATAGAAAGCATTGCAGTTGTCGATGCCATACCCCCGGGTATCCCGACTTCCGTATTGCCAACTACCGACTCTGGATCAAAGAAGACCCGAAGGCCTACGATGACCCTATTCAAGGAAGGATATCTTCGGATGGCGCCAGGACTCCGACTAGGGCACAACTCCTTAGCTTGTAGGGCAAGTTGATCCTGAATATAAATAGCTAGTAATTCTCCCTTTTGTAATCATCGACTCTCAAATAGGCGTAGCTATATTGTAACAGCAATCTTGCCGAATACAAGCAATACAAGAGTAGCAACTGGACGTAGGGCTTTTACTCTATTCCTGGGGGGGCGAACCAGTATAAATCTCATATCCATCTGTGATTGTTCTTCGCACCAAGTGGGGTTCCCCAAGAACCAAATATCTACCGATAAAAAACACCGACAGAGGCGCGCTAGGTAGGGGGGTCTTGCGCGAAGACCGATCATGCCGATCATCAACAAAGTTTGGTACCCAGATTCGGCGCGCTCCGATGCCGCTGTGTCACCATCCTCAGTCAGATCTGCAATTATGGGCAACTACTACTCATATTCGCATATCAATTCTCCATCCCTCGAGGTGTCACCGACTATCCACTTCGGAAGTCGGGTATTCGAACACCATGGAGATTTTGATCTATTGTTTATAGGGATCTATGATCCCAATTTGACTCATGCTGGCCATGAAGTTTACAAGTCATACAGCCATGTTCATGAGGATCTAGCCGACTCTACTTCCTGTCTTGATCTTGACTATGATGGCTCAGATGAGGAGATAGACCCTTACGAGGGCCATAAAATCTACATGGCTACATGAGACAATACGCAAGCAGCGACTGAGGCCAGGTCATCAGCATCTCGCACATCACCTCGTCTTAGCAACGCTCCAACAATCAACACAATTTCGCCATGAGTTGCGATGGAATCTACCTTGCGCCCAAGGAATCTAAATTCTAACTTCCGCGAAGCGTAGGAGGACAACATTCATATCAGGATGCTCCTAGGGACTATGGGGGCCCTGGCGCAAGAAGGAATGCCATTGGTGACCATCATCAAATAGGCACAAGATCTAGCCAATCAAGCTAAAGAACGCCTAGAAGCAAAGGCAGCCGCACCTTCTAAATCGGCGAGATCCCAATCACACAACCGGAATCCATGCCCCGAGAGATCTAACCGATCAGTGGGCAACCAGTACAATGCCCCGCCTGGAGGTTGAGACCTTAGGCCCGAGTTCGATGCGAACGGAAGAGGTCGAGATGCCCGAGTGACGCTCGATGCAAATCAGGCTCAACAGTACGGCACCAATCCCCGAGTCTCGGTGACTGATTATCGTGCATTTGCTCCGAATCTACAGAGGGTCGTTTGGCCTCGTAAGTTCACACCTAGCCCGATTGAGAAATACAACAGCACCACCAATCCAAAAGAGTGGATCAACATCTACTCTATGGTCATCGAGGAAACATATGGTGATGATTACGTTAAAGCCAATCACCTCCCGACTGTCCTATAGGGCTCGAGCATCCACCGCCATGCCTCGCTGCTGCTTCTGCATTTGCCGGCCACCACAACAGCTGCTCTCCCATTGCTGCTTCCCACCACCGACGTCCTACCATGAGAGAGCGAGAGAGGAGATGAAGAGAGAAGGATCTGGCCTACTCACCGAACAGCACAGCTCGTAGTAGATCTCAATGAAGGCGAAAATGACCGGGCGAGCCGGGGCTGAATGCGGTCTCCTCGATGACCGAGGCCTTGGATGACTACGGCACCAGATATGCCTCCTCCTGTTACAGATGGCCAGTGGCCTGGCGCCTTGGCGGCCAATGATGTGCAGGGCTCCTGGCGGCGAGCAGGCGGGGCAGCGGATGGGCTGCCGATGGTCGGATGTGTTCCGTGGCGGCTTGGAGTGGGCGTGGGACGTCGGAGAGAGGGAGAGTCTGGGTGGCCCCAGGACGGGAGGGGATGAGTGAGGAGGACTGATCCAAATAATCTGTTATGTTGGATGTGAGTGAGTAACAGAAAGGTAGATGGCGGAGTGAATCTCGTCCATTCATTTGAAAGGTTAGCAGTTGCTGGGTGTATTTTTTAACACGTAGGAGAGATTATGACTATAGTTGGGGTGGCTCTAGGAAAATTTACAAGCAGTACATTATTAGTGGTAAAGATTAGTGGTAGAGATAAAAGCATAAGTATGCATCAACAGAATACCATCCCATATGCTTGCCAAATGATTTGGCCTTTTCTTGGTCTCCAAACTCGACCTCACGAGTTTTGAAGTTTAATTATGAGCATAATTGTGTTTCCATAGCACTTAAAATGCAACTTGCTAAATTCACTCGGTACTAGAAACTAATCGCAACGAGGATAGCTCTGATGCTGCAGAGTATTTCCAAGTAATCGAAACGATGTTATCCATATCTCTGATGCTGCAGAGAATTGATTTTCAACAACAGGAGTCCTCTTACGTAGAGACAGCTCAATCTATAGCTGCCTCTACAGTGGTATCCGAAACTGAACGGCCTCTAAAAATATATTTGTAGAGGCAGCTGCTATTTTTAGCTGAGGCGGCTCTATTTCTAGCATAATTGTGTTTCCATAGCACTTAAAAATGAACCTACCCGAAGGTACCGTTCAGTTCTGGGCTCATCTATGCTAGATGTTTGAGGCCAACTTCCATGCAACATACACCCGCCCCAGTCAGGAGGATGATCTATTCGCATGCATATATAGACCCGATGAATCTCTTTGGGATTTCATTCGACAGTTCAGCGATATCCGCAACACGATTCCCAACATGATTAAAGATTGGGTAATTGTAGCCTTCAAGCAGGGCTGCAAGGATGAAAAGACCGCCGAGAAGCTAGCCACTAAAAACCCTAAAATGGTGCCTAAGCTCCACAAGATCATCGAGGCAACAGCCAAGGCAGCTGATGCCCGAGCATGAGTGCACGGTCAACTCGATGCCTCTCGATCAACGGAGGATAAGAAGAGAGGCAAGGAAAAGAAGCGCAAGAACAAAGACACCAAAATCCTCGCCACCAAAAAGGGAAAAGCTCCACCCCGATGCCAAGGTAAACCCGATGACCTCCCTGTTTATTGTCATGTTCATCGTTCCACCAAGCACTTCTTCACGGAGTACTCAGTGTATAAAAAGCAAAAATAGGTAGAGGAACAGCAGCGCAGAGCTAAAGCACCCGTCCGTTAGCAATGGCATGATTAGAATGTTCACGTGGCAGAAGAAGACGAAGAAGTCATCCTGCCCGAGAACAAAATACTCACCATCTATGGTGGCATGGCCTCCTCGGCTTCCAAGACCAAGCTGAAACAAGTCTAGCGTCAAGTGAGCAGTACCCAGCCGATGGAAAGAAGGCTCAAGTGGTCAGAAGTCCCCATCTTGTTCAACCTCAGGGATCATCCCCTGAATCTATATGACGGCCCACTGCTCCCATTGGTTATTAAACCATACATCAGGAATTACAAGGTCGGACGAACCTTAACCGACAGTGGCAGTGCGCTCAATCTGCTCATCGCTAATACATACGACAACCTCGTGTTGCCTAGGAAGGCTCTAATCCTAGTCAAGGAACCCTTCTATGGAATAATGCCAGGCATGTCAGCTTATCCACTCGGAAGGATGGACCTCTAGGTTACCCTACAAGATGGCGAGAACCTAAGGTCCGAAATCCTGACTTTCGAGGTAGCCGACTATGAGTCGGCCTACAACTGCATTCTAGGAAGACCTTTCCTGAAGAAATTTATGGCTACGGCCCACTTCGCCTACTCGGTGCTGAAGGAGTCTGGGCCCCATGGACCCCTCACTATATACGGTGATCGGAAAGGTGCAGTCACCTATGACATGAAAACTCTCGGCCTGATCAAGCAATTTAGGCGGGTTCTCACCGACCTAGCTGAGCCACCGTCAAAGCAGCAAAAGACCACAGACCTAACTGTTATGACAACGCCAGCAGTAACACTGCCTGCACCTATTGTAGCAGCCCTAGTTGTGGCCAAGCCATCGATTCTAGAGGCCGAGAGTTCTAAAGCAGCTGAAGCCAGGTCCAAGGCACCTATCCTGCCACAGAATTAGATCTTGGCACTACCTAAACCTCAGGCTCTAATGCCCTCTGAAGTTCCAATCCCAATGATCTCACAATCCCAAACTCTGAAACTCCCGCAGTATATGATGCTGAAGATCAACGTGGTCAGCTCTAAACAAGTGGCGGTCATGGACAAGCCAGATGACACTCCTCAATCTAGGGAAGTCACAACTAGGGACCATACTACCAAGCCTGTCATCGTTGATCCGACAAATCCTGATAAGGTCACCCATATCAGGACCAACATTCCTCCTCAATAGGAACTCGAGCTCATTGCTTTCCTCCGGGTGAACAAGAATGTGTTCGCTTGGGAACCATCAGACATGCTCGGAATCCCTAGGGAGGTAATCGAGCACAAATTGGGTCTACCAACTGGCGCCTAACAAGTCAAACAAAAACAAAGACGCTATACACCTGAGAAGCTAGCCGCCATATGAGATGAAATCAACCGACTACTGAAGGACGGTTTTGTACGAGAGGTCCCCTTCCTGGAGTGGTTAGTAAACCCCATCATGGTCAAAAAGCCTAACGGCACAGGGCGGATGTGCGTGGACTACACCGATCTTAATAAAGCATGCCCTAAGGATGAATATCCCCTTCCGAGGATAGATCAAATTATAGATTCAACCTCCGGATGCGAATTGCTATCTTTTTTAGATGCTATTCAGGGTATCACCAAATTAGCATGTGACTAGATGATAAGGAAAAAACTGCATTTGTAACTCCTTTTGGTGTGTACGGTTATATTAAAATGCCTTGAGCTGGCCCCGAGCAAGAGACGAGCTCGATCGCGGTCAGCGCCATCCGGATTATGGATCGGCGCGTGAGACCACGAGGAACGCGCTTCGCTTTGGTGTTCATCGGTCATTTACGATAGCTCATTCTCACAAAGAGAACATCGATCTAGCGACGATGAGTTAGGGCTTCACGCCCGGTTACTCCAAGGCTGAGATCGAGGAGACGGTGGCCCTCCTAGCACAGGATCTAGCTGTAAAGATCGAGGACGAAGTCATCCCCCAAGGGGTTAGTCAGTTGGATGAGCCAGGTGGTGAGCTTGTAATAAATAGACAAGTTTTTAATTTTTGTTTTGGCCAAAAAGACTTTTGGCCATTCTCTTTTTTTATGTATAAAAAGGTTGATGTGATCTGACCCCTTCTAATGTTAAGGTTATAAAGCTCAAGGTGCGGGTGAAAAAACTCTGATCACGCTAGTGAGCAAAAACGTCATAGCCGCTGAGGGCGTAGGTTTCTTGCGTCCGACCAGTTTTACTCAGCGTTTGTTTTCGTGACTCTTGCTTCTAGATCTTAACGTAAGGAGGGTTAGGCGCAAATAATGTTTCTAAGTAGATATATTCTTATCAGTCCACAAGTGAGGCCCGATCCCTTGCCATTGCTGGGGTCGGGTGTCACTAAAGATTGAGAAAACGATAGCGAAATCGATAAGAGAAAGCGTTTTTGCGTTTCAGAAATATCATTCTTAATTTTCATAAATACGCACAAAGACTAGGGGTAAAAGCGACGTAGCTGCTCAATGTTCTAGGCATTGGTGAAGACTTTGCCGTCGATGGACTTGAGCTTGTAGGTGCCCGCCGGAGCACCTCCGTGACGATGTATGGTCCCTCCCATGGTGGAGAGAGCTTGTGGTGGTTCTTGTTACTCTGGATGAGGCAGAGCACCAGATCCCGACGTTGAAGGCCCGGCCTCGCATGGCATCATCCATCCATCCTTCCCTCGCCATCCTTCCCTCGGTTCTTCGTCCACCTTTTTGGCCACCGAGCAAAACTTCTTCCTCTACCACGAGGAAGGCTCAGCTTCTTCCTCTGGTCACCCTTTTATCACATCCATACAACGATAATATCGAGAATAGTGCCACCAGATTCAAAAGTAGAAACGCTTGATGAGGGTGCATTATTATCAAGCATTGATGGAATCAAAAAGTAGCATTCATTTAGAACATAGGTGCTTGACTCCTCAAATAGACTCATGTGCCAAAATTTATCGTGGTTTGTACACTCCCAACCCTAGTAGCCTCTTTGTGGAAATTGGATGTGGATATAATCAAAAGCACCCTTAAAGCGGGTGCTTCATAATAATAGTTGGTCAAGTTTTAACACTATTCACACACATTCCACCCCATTCCCGAGCCAGGTTCGATCCTAGGATCGAGCCCCATATGTCACCATACGTGTTCTTCTTCTTGTTCAGGCCCGTAGCCCCTAGCTGGTTGGAGGTGCCTCTATCTAGTTTAAGCGAAACCAGGAAAGGTCCATAGCCAGGCAAGTCGGCATCCAATCGATCAACCATACACTCGCTTTTTACATAACCACAAGATCCCTTAGGGTGGTCGAAAGCCTAGGATAATGCCACTCTACCATTCACCTGCCACCTACCCATTGCAGGCGGTGGTGAGTCATGATATAAAGGTCTCCAGCTCCTTGGTGGTCCGAGGGCCCTTCAACCTAGCGATATCCCCTCTGCTTGTGGACTAGGGACTCGCAGTGGTGGTCCCGGAATCCATGAGTAAGGCGCCGATCATGTCTTCATCGTGGTTTCCATCGACGACGTCGTTCACAACTCATTACATTGCCCACGAGAAGCATCGGATGTACTCACGGAGAGTTCCCTGGACTTTTGTCGGCAATTCTTCAAATCCTCTCCCCATAGGGTTCCCCACGCATCAATATAGCGCAGCGTAGTAGTCCTAGAAATTTCCCACAAAGATCTCCTTGCGTCAGTCCGCCATGCATACTACCATGCAAGTCCTACCATATCGACAATAAAGTAAGCACTAGAACTTTAGCCATGGGGTGCTAGGTTGTGGATAATAAAGGAATCACTATCCACACTCGATCCTCGTCCGTCGGCTCCTCCAAAGCAAGCGATCGGTAATCCTCGAGCACAAAGAAGCAATGATTCATTTCCATGGTGTAGTATTTTGAGATGTTGATCGGAGGTCATATGAATTAGTTATGAATTTAGAAGATTAAATCTATTTCGAAAATGGAAAAAGGCTGAATTAATCCTAGGTTGACACATGTCATGCGCGGTTGGTCAGGCCATCGTTGACGATCACGTGCTGGCCAAAACCCTAGGGTCCAACGCCAGATCACCGGGGTTGGGCTCGAGGCTCCTGAGTCAGCCGATGTGGGTCCGTCAAAGTAGCATTCACCACGATGAGGGTGGTAGCCCCGACGTCATCGGCGACCTCCTCTCTCCCCCCCATCATCGATGCGTTTGACAGCGCAGGGTGTTACATGTTACATGCGTCACGGTTGGGGCCGAGGCGCGCTCATGCACCGACCATGGCAAGCCATCCACCATCGCGTGGAGCATAGTGGGCTTTGATATCGTCCTCACCATGTCGTCCCAAACCGACATGCGGTCCATGGACCTCGGCATCGAGCTCCACGTCGCCTCCCGACTTGGCTCATGTGCAGAGCTCACGCCGCTTCACTTCGGCGAGGGGGATGTTCACTGCATCGCTGCCGCTCGAGTAGCGTGGTAGTCTTGGTGTCCGCGGATCTCGTGATGGTCCCGACGGTGGCTTCCCAAGGTGTTGGCCACGATGTTACGGTGCTCCGAGCCCCTCTAGTGGCGTCGAACAAGGTGGGCAACACCGCCTTACCATGGTAGCTATGTTCTAGCTTACCCAAGCGAAGTGCGGGAGGCCTCCATAGTTCTCGATGATCCTCCGGTTTATGTCATCCACGCAGCAACCTGGCGTCATTGCACGGTCACCTTGTCTCCACGGTGGCTCGATCTCGCGCCATGGCTCAGCTCCACACGCTGTGCTCTGCTATGTCATCCATGGGGCTAGGAGGGGTCTGTAGTCACGTATCCTCAATCTCCTTGTGATGTGCCCTTAGTGTGACCTGGCGGTGCTCAAATTTGCTCTCTACTCCTCCCGGGGTGGCGTTTTGTCCCTTCTGGCGGGGATTTGCAATGCCCCTACATCTCCCTCGACATCGTCGTCAGGGTCATTCGTAGGAGTTGCCCCTCCCTCGTGGAAGCTTTCAATGCGCCCCTCAGGGGTGCCTACCATAAAACATTCTCGTGAGGGGTGATGGCTTCCCTTGCTGGAGTCAAAGTCGAAGATCATCTCTGAATCTCTCACGAGAAGGTCGTGAAAAGATTCCGTGACATAGTCCGTCATACCCACAAATTCATCATCCGTGGGGATGGGTGCATGCACTACGCCATGAGGTGACCAATGGTCCTTGCAGCGTTGGCATGGAATGCGAACGAGAACGCTTCTCGGGTTGCTCGGGTGAGGTATTCAGGGAGAGTGGTTCCCCTCCTTTTCAAGCTTTCTTTTTCGTTTGTTTGAATTCGTTGGTGAATTCAGAAGGTGAGGTAACTTATTCATTGGAGTTTTTAGTCCTCCCAAAATAGATGTTGGTCGGGTCCTAGGAAGGCATCGATTTGATTAATAATTACGGTTTAGCCTCTAATGGAGTGGTTAAGCATAACATAAAGCAAATGAAAATCCAAATCATAATTTGAGTTAACTATGTCGCATAATCAACAAATGATATGCCATGCTTATGTGTTAACTTGGGTTGGGTTACTTCTAATGCAGCTCTTAGGTTGGGTTTCTACAATGTCCTCATCATCACATGGGGTTTTTAAGAAAAATTTTGTAGTTGGTATTTTTGGTGTGTGGATTTACGGGTTTATTACAGCGGCATGGCCCTAGTAGCCTCTCGATCAGCGGTAGGGGCCTGGCGAGCCCCGTCGAGGGCCTTGTGGGTTGCCCTCGTCCTCGTCCGCTTCGCTTTGCCCTTGGGGTGGTCAAAATTGCTCCGAAGCCTCCTCACTTTGACGGGTCATGATAGGAGCCCTTGGTGGTCGAGGGCCCTTGCCATCCCCTCCTCCTAGGGACTCGATGGTCTCGGAGAAATCCAGGCTCCCAAAGCGCAAGCGTCGGATGTACTCACAGGACCCAATTCACGCCATGGCTAGCCATCCATTGCTGTTGTGGAATCGGCCAA